CTAATCAGGAACAACTGTAGAATATCTGTCTCTGAATAGCAATACATTTTTCACGCAACCAGATATAAAACAAACCCCCAAGATAATGGATCTGCATTAGTTGAACACAATGTATGCATACATCTGATTGTGGAATGTATCAGTTGGGTTATCTGTTCCAAAACATCTTTCCGGTCACTTTTAATACGTTACAAATTTATGATGGTCGAACGCAGCTGCCTCATTTCCAGGTAGCTAACAAAAGTTACGGTACGAATAGTACCAAAATACAATATTTGTTGAAGAATTTATATCGCACGGTACTACAGTGACATAAAAGTTGAAAATATTCTCACAGTTTGATTCACTGTATATTCATTGTAAAAAGACCTCTTAGGTAAACATAATGCATTCATTTCCTTCGGAGAAACTTACTTGAAATGATCCAAAATAGACTTCATAGCTTCCGGAAGTTTATGAATGGGTGGAAACTGATAGCTAGCGGGATGGGGCATTGAGAGATAAAAAAGAACAACAAAAACGTGGTAAACATACAATTTTCGTGGTCCACACGGTTGGGTTCTATTGCCCTTATAATGGTTTCTTCAAGCGACTCGGATAGTAAATCAGTTTTCTTTCTTCCCACAGTTGAATGCATTTATGTTTCCCAATTTCACATTTCAGGCTCGCGTTATTGAGAAAGAATCTGGCTAGCAAGTATGATGACAATCGGGGTTACACTGAATCGGAGGTATGAAGAACAAAACTAGCATTTGTTTGATTATTTAGTAGCCTAGGAAATCAATCCACTGGGTTCGACTAGATTTTTGTTATCCGATTGAAAACCAGTTGACTCGGGTGTACCGCAACTACACGGCTGACCTATGACTAAGGATTCAGTTCGTATCTGCAGGTATTTAAAACAACGATTCCAGGTTTTGGACGTTTCTATTTGCATCCTCCTTTGAACAGTCAGCCACCTCAATCTGTAATGATTATTAAGGAAGACATAATCCTTGGGTTTCAACCAGAAGTTTAAAACTTCGGAATCAATATAGGTTCCAAATGTTTGTGATAACCAAAGATCATCTACAGTGCCTAATGCTTATGAAAAACCGATTGGGCTAATCCAAATATTCAGTCTAAATTAATTGAGTCATTTGCACAAGGTGATAACCGTCGACCGTGTAGCTTAATGGTAAGGGTTTGAAGTCCCGACCCGAACGTTCGCTGTCCGAGTCCCGACAGGGACACAAAAAGTACGCACTGTTGACGAGTCCCAAACAAGAAGAAACACCTGTTCAGTGCTCTTTGTTGGTTATCATAAACATATCCAACACATTTAAATGCATTCAACTAGAAGGGAATTAACGACCTCCGAAGGAGTGAAACCCTCTCGCAAGATCTTCAACAGTGCCTGGTGCCTGTGACAAACCTAATGGGCCAATCCAAATATGCACCTTCTAAATTTAACGTGTCGTTTTAAATTAATTATTCTGTTCTGTTTAGTTATTTGCGACCAAGGCTCAAATTATTGTATTATGCTGACGAATATGCCAATTCTCATTAGAAAAGCATTTTATTTTAGCAAAAATTTGATTGATAGTTTCGAATGAAACCGTGTTTCCAAAAAATGTGTAATGATGGTATGTTCGAACAACTAAAACAAGCAGAAGGGTATACAGGCGATGGGTTCATAGAATATGCAGCTCGTTCAGAATAACAACCACCACCATCACCAGTGTGATGTTTATCATGATTAGTCGTATAAAATATAGATCCGCATATTCTTTTCTGTCTTGTCTAGGAAATCTGTTGGTAGATAATGTCTGTTTCGTGGTTCATATGGCAAGCTCATTTGTCAATGAATATTTCTATAAAGATTGGAGGTTATGCTGCCGACATGTGCTCTCCTTTTCAAAACATTACGTGAAATAAGTAAAATTCAACGCGCAAAGTCACCGACATAATAATAAACGTCCGCCCACAGACAGACAGACAAGAAATTATTCCCAACTTCCAGTGAGCATTGATAACTTAGACGCCGATGACTACGACCAAACATGCACTTTTCAAAGCAGGAAATGTGAAATAACTCGATCGTGACTGTTCGCTTAATCATTAATAGGTGATCAGCCCATGCCAAACTAACAACAGATCGGTCATGAGTTTGCACGTTTTTCATCTTCTGACGTTCACTATCCCACCCCAAATCTAATAGGCTGTCTATCCAATTCCATTTCGACCCGTCCCAATTTCTCTCGCCCAGACCGACGAGAACGGACCAAAGAGAAGATGTGAATGGAGTCGGTCGACATTCACTGAATTGGTCTTTCGATTACGGGTGTACTGATGTAGTTCCTGATTTATCTAGTGCGTAGTAAAACAAGTTGTATTGGTGTGTACAACATAATCGGGCGTTGTCCGTTAGCAAAATGGATGTGCAAAAGACTGCAAACTGTCTGCACTGATCGAAACAACTTCGGAGACCACCTCCTCTGGTTCTCTTCTCTCTGCTGTACTGATGAACTGGGTTCTCTTTTGTCTGCGTAAATAACAAACTATTTTTTATATCAACTGATCTGTTGTTGTCTCCTTTCGGGACTCTAGCAATAGAGGACTAGCACACCTTGACTTTGGACTCAATGTAGTTTGTTTTTACTTTTACTTGCCCTTATTTTTGTTCTGTAAAACGGTATTACTAAGTTGCTTCTCCTAAATAAAATTTCTAGTACTCTTGTACCTTTTCTACCTCCTCGAATTTTAGGATGATTGTAGAATGGAATTCGGTAATGGCGTTATTTGATGACAGCATTCCATTCCCCTTCAGTGTTCACCATGCTCGGATTTTTGAGACTAATGCATTGTACACTCGCTCGTTGTGCTATGTAGATGGGCAGCCTCACGTGATTAACCAACGATAGAATCATCGAATTCAAACTACTTCATGAGCTAAGTAAATCATTTGCAGCTCGCACTGGGTTGAAACCCCATAACCTCATTGGTTTTGATTTCTATGCAGTACTATTGAGTTCACTCCATAGGAAACAAAACTGTAGACGGATATCAAATTAGAGAGAAGTTCTATTTGAAGCAGTTACGGAAACAAGAGACGGTCTGGGAAAATGGAATGGTGCAAACAGAGATGATCAGCGTCGGACAACAACCTATTGGCTGCAAAAATCTAACTGCTTACTTGGGCATAGAAATTGAAATGATCACCACAGGGAATAATAAGATGAGGGAACTACAATAGTAGCAAATTCACTCACAGCTGAACCCGATGAAACGGTAAACGATTTGTGATGACAATGAACAAGATGATGAAAAGTTGACTACAAGATACCAGGAGAATCCCAGCTTCCAAAAACTCTTTGGAAGAAGTTCTGATTGCAGTTCTAATCGAAACTGAAGCAACAGGTCCCTGTGAAACACTTGTCGGTTCGTATGGGCAACAGCATTTATACTGAAGTAAAGTTTTTTCAAAACTAATAATAAGCAAGTCTTGGAGAGTCTTTATATCCGAGATTTTCCTGAATCGTTTATACTCAGCAGATGGAATGGTTCAAAATGTAGCGGATACCCCCATTAATATGGGTGATAAATATAAGAAAAACTCCCTTTGATCATAAAGAAAATATTTTAGTGCATCACAACCGGCCAGTACTGTAGTTCATCGATATCTGATTATAAAAGAAAACACGACTGAGTTTCAACCCAGTCGGATCTGAGTTACTTTCAGGTTACTCTACTCTCAGATTAAGGGGCCCAATATCACGAAATGGCGACACTGCCGGATAGGTGCAGGATCGACGTAGGTTGTGAATGAATTTTTACGTTTTTTCAATCTCAAAAATGGAATGATAACAAAATCAAAATTAAGTATAGTATAAACAAAATACAGGTCTAATCGAAACTGAAGCAATAGGTCCTTGTGAAACACTTGTGTGTTCGTATAGGCAACAGCATTTATACTGGAGTAAATTGATTTTCCAAATAATAATAAACAAGCCTTGATGATTCTTTATAGCAGTGATTTTTCTGATTCGTTTATACTCAGCAGGTGTAATGGTTCAGAATGTACAGGATACTCCCAGTTCATCAGTAGTGGCTGACCTAGAGCATGACGAGGCAGGGGGTAATTTAAGAGAATAAAACAGTTTTTATTTACGACAAACTATCATTGATAATAATTAAGATGTAGTTTAAGTACATTATCAGTCGACTTGATTGCGTTTGTTCTTTGGGACTTTTTTGAGTCTCTTCGGTATGGAATCCACCAACTTTGTTATGAAGTCAGTTTCTATTGTGTGCTCTATTACGTATCGCACTTTTGTCTCCAATGTCCAACGTGTAGATAGCCCATTGACCTCTCTCTTCAAAACAGAAAACAGATTTTTAATTGCGGTTGAGATCCGCGCTATTAGGGAGAGTTGCATGAACTGAACCTTGGAGTCACGCATCTTTTTTTAAGTCTAAAAACAAATAATAAGTTAACCAGACTCCTTAAATAAATAAATTTACTAACCTCTCGTGAAACATGACACAGAGCGTTATCCTGAAACGAGAACTTTTGGTTTTGAGCGCTGCTTGCTTCATTATAGTGACAACAATACGAAAATTCAAAGTTGTGCCCAAAAATGACCTTGATTTCTAGGTTGATTTTGATTGAAATGGTATTTCTCGAATTCAGTGAGTTAGCTATCAAACATAGATTATTATTATGAAACCTTATTTAATGTAATTTTCCAGGGTTCTGAAACATTTTCATGTGGTTATTCAATAGAGTTACTATAATGGATTATATGTCGGATGAAAAATGCCTCATAGAAAACATCTGACGTGGCAAGGGTTTATGGAAATAATTTGGGATAGTTCTCGAGTCATTCCTATTTGAATAAATTGCGTTTTCATACTTGATAAAGTTTGCATTATTCATGTTCAGATCATTTAATCTTGGTACCCAAGGTCAGGCACGTTTAATTGACAATTGTGCAGCCTAGAAACTACTTAGATCGCAGTAGACAAAATATAAATTATTGTTCATACATAAAGCATTAATAAAGGTGATAGATATAATGAAACTCCATTTTATGATAAAGAAAATATTTAAGTGCATCAAAATCGGCCAGTACTGTAGACCTTATAATCTGCAACCGAAACGAATCGTCCTTTTCCTGTACCTTTAATTTTCCATAAACCAATGATTACTTTTGCAACATTTTTGAAGATACATATGCATATACTAGCCTTCAGGTATTTTGGTGAATGCTTATATGCAAAGTACGTAGGATTGTCGGTTGTTCAGAAAATACGACCCAACTCGCCACACTATGGTCAACAAAACTTTCCTGCCCAAATGCAAGAATCCTGCTCCTCTCAGCCGGTTTACTACCAGCTTTCGTTTGTCCAAGTTACTTTATGAGTTGTATTGAACAACTTGAAATCAATAGTGCTCAATGCCGGCCGGTGAATTTGGGAAAACGTGCTTGTTCGCG